ACGACAAGCCAAATAAAAAAAACAAACAAAAACACAGCAGCTATTTCAGTTGCTAAAACAGAGACACACACTGACATCTAATGAGCAACAAAGTCGCTCCACAAGTGGTCAAAAATAATTATTTTGTCCTCGTTCTCTGCTGACTTGTCGATATTTTGGGCTTTTTCTTTGACTAAATTTGTAACCCATTATTTAGACACATTTTCTACTGCATTTAACTCATCTAGTAAACAACAACAACACAGACTCTTCACTACAGACTTTTATTTTGAGACAACCAGATTCTGAGATAAACTGTGGTAAGCCACATAAAATGATAGTGCGGGCCACATTTGGTCCACGGGCCTTGAGTTTGACACGTGTAATAACTACTATATTTACTGCTTTTGGCCAAAATGCAGCAACTTTTTGGTCCTTTAAGGATCCATGACCTATAATTATAGAATCACTTCACTGTTTTACATTGGGTGTCACATATATCTGTACTGCTCCAGAGGTTAACGACCTGTGTTCCAACAGGTCATCCGTTACCTTGGAAACAGGTCAAAGTTTCAACAGTTCTGCTTTTCTTCTATTCACACAGCTCATCCACATGATACAGATTTTTCCCATCCATTCTCAAACCGTAGGCAGTTTGAGGATGGGTGACTTGCCCCAAGGACAAAGCGGCATGCAGAGTGTGGGCTGGGGCTGAGGCTGAAACCACCAATCTTTTAGTTAGAGGACAGTCTGCTCTACCTTCTGAGCTACTGCCTGCTGCTGCTCACTAATTAAAGATGTAAATCTTCCACCAGTGAAAATTATGTACCTACCTGACCACTGAGAGACTTTTTTTTCTCCTCTCAGACTGCATTCATTTTTCTTTCACAGGTGGAGAAAACTCCTCCCTGAGTACTTTTTTAAAACTAATTTAGTTTATTAGAACCAACATCCTGCGCAGTGACAATAACTCAGATGGGTAATATCACAACACCATAGTGTGGTTGTGATAAAACCGGATCATTCCGAGTGTTTTATACCGAGGATAAGATTAGCAGTAAAATCATATGCAGCACAGTGAATATAATGTTTGCTATAAGGGGTTTAACGGCGGCCCCTTGTGTCAGATTTACACCGGAGTTCAGCGGAGCTGTGATAGAGTGTGTGAGCTGATTTTTAAACAACAGCAACTTCCTGGCTTGTGGGAAGACTTGATAAGTTACCTATTTAAAGTCTATTATTAACATCACATTTACATTCCCGTCGATGCAGCAGCGCAGCCTTGTGTGAATGTGAAACGATGCATTTGTAAAACAAAGCAGTGGGATTAAATCTGCGGGCTGATGATTAAAGGTCCCTACCTGGATCCCTGATACAGTGAAATAAGGAATCTCAAAGTTGACTGTGATTGGTCGCCTCGCCTCCAGTTCATCGCTCTCCACGCTGGGCAGCCCAAAGTGTGCACGCATGATGTACTCCTTCCCACCCTGCGCACACACAAACAGACGTAAGAGGTAAGAGGAAAAGGTCACACACTTGTTCTCAAATCCTCTCAGATTGGACACTTTTATTTGTCTGAGTGTAATTAACACAAAGGACTGTGCTTTTTTTCCTCTAACTCCTGATGTCACATCAAGGTGAATCAGACATTCATTTACTCAGGCTATAAAAACATGAAGTTAATCAACAGCCTCCACCGACACCCAGCAACAGAGCTGTGGTTTGTACTGTGGTTTTACTGACAAAAACACAGGTTTTATGTTTGAATCTGTTTGTCTTCTTACTGCTTTATTTAACCTCTTAAAACCTGTGTGAGTGTGACGTCATGTCTGCCGTCTTTAAACCACTGAAAATACAGACGTGTTTTTCCCACTGCGGCCTGGTGCCAAATAACCTACGGGCCGGTACCGGTCCCCAGGCCGGGGTTTGAGGACCCCTGATTTAAATCACAAACCAACACACACACAGATACACATGCAGGTTATGTGTCTTTCTCTCAATCAATTATGATTTATTGTGAGCAATTACAATCACAATTAATCATGATTAGTCATGATTAATACAAAGCTACCATGTCATTACATCAGATGGAAATTTTCATCTGACGGCCCTGATGTGAAGTGATTGACTGAGAACATTGTCCCCAAACCACCGCCTGATGTTTGTTACCCTTGAAAGTCCATTAATTCTGGAAGGAATGGCTGTTACATCCCATAAGAAGGTATTGTTTTACATCATTAAAAGGTTGACGGTGACAGAAGGAGCTGTCGCACAAAGTCACACAGGAGCTGGATTACAGCAGATCAGCTCATCATTTTCTTTACTCCCTGGCTGACAGGCTGAAGGTGTAATGAATGACTGAGTAGATATTAGGAAACAACAGATGAAAGGAGGTGATTTGATGCTCTACAGGTTTTTCTTTTAAAGGCATTGACCTTTTCTTTTGAAGACCTTTTTATTTAGTGAAGGCAGAGACTGAGTCAGACCTTTGAAGGAACAGTAAAAGATGTATGGGCTGCTCCATGCATATGTGTGTGTGTTTGTGTGCGTCTACATGTGGTCATAGGGTTATACAGTCTGAACAAGTGTGTGTGTGTTTGTGTGTGTCCACATTTGGTCATAGGGTTATACAGTCTGAACAACACGTGCACCGTGTGAGTGGGCTTTGAGTGAAAGACTCAGGCTGAAGGTTTAAAAATAAGGAGATGAAAAGTATGTTTTTAAGTGTCCTTACAAATGTATAAAGTCAAGTGTGTGACGTTACAGTGAATGATGAACGGCTGCTTCCGAATTATAATCACAATGCTCTTCATTATTGACGCTGACACTGCTTCAAGCTGATTAAACAGTTACACAGGTTAAATGTTCAACAAGAGAGTAACAAATTAAATGTCAACTACTTTGTTATGATTAAGAAATTTGAATTTGTTGAAGGTTGGTGTTAAACCTTAACCTTACACATTATTTTGATGAAGAGGAGTTTCAAGGCTCTTCAAACTTTTTTATTAATTACATTTTTAGTCGTAGATATTTGGTTCTGAAGGGAAAATAATATATTTGACTTGATATATTTTGTTTTTTTAGAATTGCTAACAGATTACATAGATTATTATATTTCAAAATATATAAATTCCTAGTGTCCATAATGTGAGATTTGTTACATTTCACATTATTTAAATGAAGACACTAATTTAGACCAATGCTCAATCAGCTGTTTGGCCAAAGAGGTTCCAGTCTGAACAAAATGCACTTTAGATTTCTAAAATTTTGTGTATTATGATTCCACTATTTTTCTAGGAAATCAACAGGATTAATACTATAATATTAAGAGAACAATAACATTAAAAATCTATTTCTGTTGTGCTTCGTGTTCCATACTGACTGGGAAGGACTTGATGTTCCACTGCACCACATTCTTCTCAGGAACCCACTTGGCACTGCCCGTGCTGGTCTTGAACTTGGGTGAGTCAGCGTCGCTGGGCACTGGCACCATAATGGCCACATTGTTCGCTGTGGACCGACTTTTAAACTGACTGCGAGCCTGCGGAGGGCGACAGAGGGGCAGAGTTCAGACATCACCACAGACCTCAGAAGTAAAGAAATAATCTGTGGAGTGTGGATTCAAAGGGAGCGCGTCTTCATGATTATGCAGGCTGCATCCTTGCACTGTGTGGCTGTCACTGCACCAAACAGATGGCAGGGTGTAATCCGCCTGAAACGCGTGTGTCATAAATACTAAAGATGCTTCGGTGATGGCACTAGATGGGCGAGTGAGGGCTGAACAGGCTGTTACTGTATGTGAGGGTGTTTACGTTAGTGTGTCGCTCATCATTACCTTCACCTTGATCTCCACACGACTGTGAGAAAACTTCTCAATCACACTCTCGATCCATATGAGAGGCTTCACCTGCCAGAGGACAAGGTCACAGAGGTGAGAGTGGAGTCAGCACGTAAACACTGTAGCCCACCTGCACCGGGACACAGTGGGGGACGAAGTGCATATAGGACACGAGGACTTCTATGGCGACAGTCGCGTACTGTAGTACTACTTCATATATTCACTGTGACTGCTCTGCCATAAACTGCAACTACAGTACCTACAAATAATGATTTAAATAAAACTGTTGTTAAACTACGACTTTTATATCACCATTCAAAATGTTATAATAGCAAAATTTTATTACAAAATATATTATAATAATAAATGAGAGGAAATACTGCATTGTACATGAGCATCTAATTTTACCATATTAAACTGAAAAGGCTGAAAAAGGCAGAATATAAGAAAAATAATACAAAATATATTGACTGTGTTAAAAAATTCCCCATCGTCTGCAGCTAAACTAACATAAAGGAATACAATTATGGATGCATTTGCTAAAATAAATGACCAATCTAAGACCTTTGAACAGTAGTGTATATTTAAAGTGACTAAAACAGAAGACAGTGATGAGCAGAAAACACTCCTACAGCATCATCTAAAGGACAAAGTAGGAAAAACAAAGAATAAGTATAAGTATAAAGAATTAGTATAAGTAAAATACCGTATAATAAGGATTAAAAAATGTAGAGATGGTGCAAATAAAAAAAACTGTTGTAAATGTACAGACAGGCTAAAATATCAATAGAAATGGGTTTCCAGTTTGTGCAGGTGTGTGTCACACTCACTGCAGTGTTCAGGCGGTAGGACATCAGTTCACTCTCGCCATCAGGTGGGATGAAAGAAATGGTGCGGTCGTTCTCGAAACGTGACAGTCGCACACACTGATGAAACTTTACGTCTTCCAGCTCCACTGTCTTACTTTTTTCTCCTGAAACACACAGAAAAACAAGTAAGAAAAAAAACCCCAAAAAACCAAACCATTTTGTTTCATTTTGTTAATCACAGCTGCATGTCCAAGACTGAGGAGGTAACATTTTATATAATATTAATTAACTAAAAACCCTCAAGGTAATTAAGGTATTCATTTGTTTTCTTATGGGAAAACAAACACACACAGGAGCACATCAACGCTTTCTTGAAGCAACAACCAAGAAGGTCAAATGGGACGGAGTGTCAGAGCTTGGACTCAAGGGACTGGATAACAGAGAGAGAGAGAGAGAGAGAGAGAGAGATGTGTGTTTGTGTGTGTGTGTTCATGAGTGTGATGACACATTTCAGAGGACTTAAGATGCAGCAGAGTCCCGTGTGATTCACATTTTCACCCTCACTCTCTGACCTCTCAGAATAAAAGTCAAACATCGTCATATGTTGATGTTCGATGCTACTGCTGTTCATAGATTTCTATTTATAAGGAAACCATTTATGCCAGACAATATACAATTTAAACAAAAATGTTTCATTAGATACGTGAAAAACTCAAACTTACTCTGTAAATATAATAAATACATTCGAAATCGGATTTCATGTGACACCAGAATACAAGTTTTAAAGGTGTAATCATAAAAACGAACGATGTGGTTGCTTGAAAGGTGACGTTGACGCATTTTCGCCAGCAGAGGTCACCATTGTACGACTAATACAGCTTACCATTGGGGTCGTATCGTAGTATACATAGTGTACATATAGCTTTATATATATATTCTTATATATATATATATATAACTAATGTGACGATAGGAACAAAATTAAAGCGTTCAAACTAACAGCGAAGAGAGAAAAAAAATTGTTATTGTCTAAACTCTTGATGTGAGTGATTTTGATTCTTCCTCTGTGTTTGTTTATTTCTGATCTCATTTACTCTGCATGAGTTCTCCTGCGAGTTGAAAAATCCACAGCAGGGGAACTCCATCGACCTTCACCTTTAATCTACAGGACTGTAGCCTGGAGTGTGGATTAACTTGCAGGCAAAGAGACTAGTCTTTTTCAACTGGGGAACAAAAGTAGGAAGGTGGGAGGGAAGGAAATGAGATGAGGGGACGGGAAGGAAAGGAGGTGGAGAGTGCAGAAGGAAGAGCCTGAGGAGAGCGAGCAGTGGGATGTTGGGAAAGCTGAGAGAAAAGTGAAGATGAGCAAAGATGAAAGCAACGGTAAGTACAGGATTGTGGGAGTTAAGGGTGGAGACTGAGGCAGTAAACGTGGAGGAATAAAAGGTAAGTTCAAGGTGAGTAGTATTCAAAAAGTATAATACTGCAAAAAAAGGTGAAAGGTAGTGCAGGTAGATCCTGAGAAATGAAAGAAAATGTGAGCTCTATCAACTATAAAAAATGAGCATGTAAATTTGTATTTACATTTAAATTGTATCATGGCGTCAGATACTTCAAAGTCATAAAGTACACAATTTGTATTACATGAGTTATTTCCAGTTTATATAAAAAATAAATAACATTTTTGATTAACAGTAAGAATCTTGAAGCTAAATGTGTGACAAAACCAAAAATGTCCAAAATATGTTTTCCCCCATAAAACTATCAAATCAATAACAACATGGAACCTATGAAGTGAATGCTGATTTTTACAGTGCGCTTCAGTGAAATTACGCAGCTTTGTTCCACTAAGATCAGATCACCTGTGGACACCTTCATTACTTACTGCCTGTGATTTCAAACAGAACTTTGTCGTTGAGGCCCAGCCTGAGTTCAGGCATCCCTGACAGGACCACCTTCAGCTTGATGCTGCCCAGTATTTCACTGCGCAGGACGCTGCCTGTGGCGCTCACCTGTAGGAGGAGAGGCTAACGGTTAACTACAGTGATCTTCAACAAGACAGCCAAGATATCAGCCTGGATTATAATTCACACATCAACAGACTGATATATTTATGGAGGCTAAAGGGAAATAAAAAAAGGCTGAGCAGATATACATCAGACAACAATTGAGTGCTCTACGGTTGTTCAGACTTTTTAAATACTTAAATTGTATTTTCATATTTCTTCTGTTTTCTTACTTTTCTTGGAGTCTTTGTTCGACACCACAAAAGAAAATGTAAATTTTGTGCCAAATGTGCTAAATGTTGGAGAAGTTTAAGCCTTTGTAAATTATTCAGCACAAATGATAATTTTCTATAATTTTTAAACATTTTTTTTTCAATTATTCATCTTTTACTAGTTAATCTTGGAGTGGAGTTGGAACCAATCGCAGCAGTAATGTAAGAGGAAACGACAGACCGTGGACAAAACCACCAGCACAGAAGGACAGTGTCCTTGGGATCACATGGTCCTCACCAGCAGATTTACAGACTCAATGACGTCCATGAAAACCTCATTCTTTCTGTACTTGATGCCCTCTGATCGCCAGGACACGGCGTTGGTGACGGTGGCAGGGGGTCGAGGAGCTCCCACCTCCAGTTTATGGCCCTCCTGGGTGATGTACCTGAAGGAGACAGGGGCAGAGGTTGTTGTTTCTCTATGAAATGTCTCCAAAAACATCTGCAAAACAAGTACATGTTTGAAACCTCTCATTTGGAGAAACCCAGCAGGAAAACACAGAGGTGTTTTCGTCTTTCATTTTGAAACCAAAACCACTTGAACTGAGTTTTTTTGTTGTTAATAGTCTTTATTATTTACACCGCATTACTCAATGCAAATGAGCGTTAAGTAAATACATTAGAAAGATTTGTGTCGTGTGACGATTATTCATGGATGTAATTAGAAAAAGGAGACCCGGACAATTCAACTGACACTTAATCCACGGATCACAATGTGATTCAATGATGCATGTGATGACAGAAAGTCCCGTCTGTGTACATGTGTGTTAGAATGCAACCCATCCAACAGCTGCAGCACTGCACAAAACAGTTTTGTGCAGGTTTATATTTTTATTGTTTGGCTCTTTGGTTTGATGAGCAGGATGTTTACTTTGTTCCTGGGAAGCAGGGCAGATGGTGAGCGGTGTTTTTAGTTTAGTGGTTTTAAATCATGTTTTTACACAGAACAGCATCTGCACAGGTAAACCTGGAAGCTGAGAGCGATGACGGAGACAACAACACAGATATAACATGTACAGAACATCACAGTGGAGCCTCAGCCACGGCCCAACTAATTCAAATGTCAGTGCCCACACCATGCTTAACATTTGGGATGGGTTTTTAAACACTTCATCCACTTGGTCACTCAAGGCCAATGGGCTAAATCTGGCGGATCACCTAATTAGATTAGATTAGATTAGTGAACTACCTGTCATTGTAACACAGCACACCACTGCACACAACCAAATGTGACCTCTGCTGTTAACCCATCACCAAAGTCAACAGTGGGCAGCTTTAAGAACCTGGGGAGTGTGTGGGGACGGTGTCTTGCTCAGTGCACCTCAGTGGTAACTTGGCAGCTGGTGGACTCCAACCTGAAACCTTCCAGACCCAAGTCCGCTTCCTTAACCACTAAGCCACCACTGCCCAATTTTAATTTTATGTGGCCCACCATAACTCACCATGCATATGGTTGTCTTGAAAAAAGAAAAAATACAGGTATATATAACAATATATATTTTATATTTTTATAACAATAATATAAAACATTTTCTTAATTATTATTATTTTATATCATCAATATACTTGTTTATATCTATTTTTGATGGTAAGATTTGATGGGGGGGTTAATTTAATTAATTAATAGTATATTTTTGTGTGACTGGAAGAAACTTTTCCATGGTAAACAGACGTCCCACCATCCATTAATTACTGGAGAGGCTGCTGCTGCTGCATGGTAGTTATATCTAGTAGAGTGCAGGCAGAGCAGCAGGCTCCAGGGAAATGTGATGACTTGTTATGAGAATAGCGAGGAGCTGCACTTAGATAAACAACATGTAACGAGGCTGTTCCACAAACACCTGCCTCTCACCACGGTTTTACTTCTTCTACGTTAATGTTAAAGCTAACGCAGATACGAAGACCGAGTTTATTTCAAACCTTCGGTGAAGTTCTTGCCCTCAGTCGACAGAACCTCACTGTCCATTTGACAAATGCACGCTGGGCGTTGAACATTGTTCTCCAAGTTCCCTGATCTTATCGCCAAAGACTAGAGAACAAACACACATTGTTTTCTTTTTATTCAAATTTCCACTCCTGTGTCAACAAACAACCGTGATTCAGATTGACTGGCAGATTGAGGTGGAGTTACTTTTCCTCATCTTCTGCCAAGTTCTCCCACCCACAGAGACTTTAATGCACGTTGACACAAAACAGAGTCGGAGGAGAGGTGCAGAAAGATGAAAGGCAGCGACAAGCAGGTTTTGGGGACGGTGTTTGGTTTGTTTTGTTGCTCTGTTGTTTGTTCTGTCAGAATTAAAATACTTTTCCTCAGAAATGTTAATGAAAGGATGTAGAAAGTGGAGTTGGCAGCAAACAGACAGGCAGATTAGCATAACAGTCAAACACACACACACACACACACATGCATATGGATTCTCCTTGTGTGTTTTGTTCTGTCATCCACTCCCACACACACACAGAAACATTCACACATTTTCAACAGGTACATGTTGTTATAATGTTGGAGAAGGATGATTTTCTTGTGCTAAGGGCATGAGGGACAGTCAAATGAGAGAGAGAGAGAGAGAGAGAAGGGATATTTTTAAAATATTTTTGGCTAATGTAGAGATTCCATTAAGTGTCAAAAGAATCCTGTTAATTAACAGCACAAACACTTAGGCACAAAAGAGTTACCAGAAGAGAACAATTCCTTGAGGTAAGAAAAAAAGAAGCTTTTCACATGTCTCGGTAAGACTTGAACTTAACTCTAATTAAATGCAAAGCTCATCTAGGTGCAGAGCGAACTCAGGTTGTCATGGTGCTGCAGTCTTAGCAAAGAACGAATGTTGAGCCTCTTTCTGGGAGAAAATGTCTCTCAGAGTTGCCAAGTGGAGAGAAAAAGGTAAAAAAAAACAATGTGAATGTGTATGTGAAGACTGAGGACACAAATCACTGGTGTGGACCAGGAGCAGCAGTTCCACTTCACTTCACTGTCTGGAGCTGCACCACTGATTTAGGTCTTAATTAAAAACATTCTGTTTAAATGCAATCAGATATCACTGAATAAATGTGCATTTTCTTACAACCGTTTTACTCATAGATCTAAAGTCAAAGTGAAGTGAAGTTGATCAATCTGAAGTGAAAGTGAACTACTTGTCGCTGTGACAGCACTCAACGAAATGTGACCTCTGCATTTTACCCTTAACCAAAGTGAGGCGGCTTAAGTGCCCGGGGAGCAGTGTTCGGGGACAGTGCCATGCTCAGAGCACCAACACTGATGATGCATATGCTCACTCAGTGTTTCCCTCTGGTGGAGACTGTTTCACATTTGTCTTACTCTTGCAGGATCTGGCTGTCGGTCGTCTGAGGGAAGCCGAAGTCCATCACTTCGTCCATCAGCTCGTACACGGTCACAAAGTTGTCACGGATGCTCTCCTCCTCCAGCTCCTTAAAGTATTCCTTAAACACCTGCACACAGAAACACGGCCTCTGGTTTGTTCAGCGTCACTTCAGACTCTAATGGACTCTGACAGTGAACAGCACAAAGAGCAGGAGACACTTTTTAAACTTTAAATTCCTTTAAGTGAAAATGGTTAAAGCAATTGGTCTCTCTTGTTCAAAGGTCAGCTGACTCTGAGGACGTTTTCTTTAATTGTCTATTTCAGTGATTCTTAACTAACTTAGACCTCTAGTGCCACCTATAGAAAAACTGTAAAAACTGCATGGAAATGAAAGTAGGGGAAAGCAGTTAAAAGGTACTGTTTAATAAAGTATTTGGACAAATACCTGGATTATTTTATAAAGAAAGGAGTAGACGAGAGCAGCGTTGGCATTCTTCTTGGTCATCGCCACCACTGAAGAAAATGGTTAAGAACAAAAAAATCTGAATTTCAGCTGGAACAATGGGTAAAAGGTTCAAACGTCATTGCATAACAGATGCTGTGAATGTCTTAAACTGCAAGTTAGGAGAGGAATTTAACGAAATAAAAAAGACGGACTTCAATTCACCCGACTTCATGGAGAAAACAGGGCTAAAAAAAAAAAAAAAAAAGGCGTCGACAGCAGTGCGTGGAGAATGTCTTTTACACACGACTGCAATATCGTGCTTTTTATTAATAATGTGTGAGGAAGTTGAACAGACCCATCTCTCACAATAGAAAGAATATCACGCCGTGCATATCACATCACAGAGAATCTGTCTTGAATTTTTTAACTGCTGCTGACGCATGATGTGATAAAAGAGAAGCCCGGGAGTTGCCTGCAGCAGAGACGGAGGGAGAGAGTGGTATTGCATATAGTTTACATTTGTAAAAAAGAGGATATAAGTACAGGAGGACTTTCATCTCCACAACACCGATTAATGGTTGGAGGATTTTGACATAAGGTTGAACGTTGTAGAAGCTGTATAAAGATCAATCTGGTCACAGCAAAGGTTTCCATGTGACACCACTGAGACATGAGCTCAGAAGGATACAGTAGAGGTTGCTGTGTTTGATGAACAAAAAGTGCGCAGAGCCGTGGCACACCAGCGGAGACACCTCGGCGTCTTCCTCCCTCTTGTTCAGGATGGGCATGAAGTGGTCGATCTCGTTCATGTCCATGTCGCCCATGTAGTTGCGGCAGATCAGCACCTGGGAGCGAGATAGAAAGGACACCGTGTAAATGTCAGAGGATGGTATTTAGAGGTAGTGAACACACAGGTACCATCACTGAGGAGAAATCCTGCTTTTACATATAGAATTTTCTCTGCTGTCTTTAAATTAATTATGGATCTAATGCACATAAACCAGAGAAGAAGAACTGAGCGGCTGATCTTGTCTGAGTGAAAATAAGTAAATATTCTGAAGTGTTTGTGGTTTTTATCACTAGTTGCGGCGCTCCACTAAGAGAACATGTCAATAATCTACACATTCAGAGGAAAATTGAATAAGAGGTTATTCCACGTGATTGACAGTCAGATCATTACATCTTCTTCTTCTCAAGCCCTTAGCTCCTCTTGAGTGCATAGGCAGTTGACGCACTTTAATGGTCTCGAAGATGGGGGGGAAGGGGGTGCAGGGCAAAAATGTCACAATTACATCTAACTAACTATGATAGGGGGGGTGCAGGGTCACAATTACATCTAACTAACTATGATTAATTTTTATTTAGCTCTATAGAACCATAATCGATAAAAAGACTTTAACAGCAGTAAGACGATGAGTCAGTAGTTTTGTTTAATTCCAAACACAGAGCGCGGAAAAGATCAAAAGCTTTTACGCCACATGGCCTGAGGGGAGCTCCATCCCACACTGACACACAAAGACAGCCCTTCCCCTGCAGGAGGGGTCACACAGGAGCAGGTACAAAAGCAAGAGGAAGTAAAGGATGGGGAAAAAAGAAGTACCACAAACGTGGAGCCATTCAGTGAAGAAAGGCAACATGAACGGGCCACTGCTTTACTTCTGTCAGAATAGAAGAAAACCATGGAGGCAACGGGTCAAAGGTCAACAGCATCAGAGGATAAGAAACAGACACGTCTTTGTATCAGAACATGTCATTGAAATTTTTAGGGCTCCTGAGGGAAGGTCCACAGATTCACTTAGTCGTCCTGAACACAAAACTTTGTAGGTTAAACAGGTAATTTAGTATTTGGCCGGCGTACATCATGAATTAAATGGAACTAAAATTAAAATTGCACTTTATCAAACAGTACACAGTTTGCCGTTATGAAGCTTTTACTTAAACAATAAATCAAGCCCAGATAGACTGCCACCTCCATAATTTAAACAATAATAAATAAACCTCATGAAATATCTGTTGATTCACTCAGTTTATCCATGAGGACTTACAGGCTTTCTGAGCATTTAGCCCTAAAGCATCACTCACTAAAACAAACATCAGCATATGATTCATCCATTCATTTATTTATTTTTCCCTGTTTTTTCTTTGCAGTTGATGGTTGTGCAGAAAAATGTAAATAATGTCAAAATCAGGAGAAAATTATTTTGGTACAAAGTCACTGTCACATTTACATACAGATTTACTTTATAACATCTTAGTTACGCAATGTTTATCAGTTTATCAATGTTTACGCTTTTATATGTATTTATATATATTTATAGAGTTATAAAGAACAAGGTTTTCTTTATAACCCGACCAAAAAATGACATAGATTTCTTACTTCACTGTCAGTCACATTTTATGGGATGGGAGGCTTCTTATTGCTTCGATGTCACTCGTCATTGCCATAGGTAATGAAAAAAGATGACAATAAAAAAAAACACTAAATATTGGAATCCGAAGACAATTGAGGACACGCTGCCAAATTACACTAAATACACAGCACTGCAGAAAAGAGGAATAGAATATAGGAAATAACGTTACTTCAAAATGGGAATGTCATGCTTCCTCTTGTTTCCGTCTGCTCAGCTGAGTCATCTTTTACTGACATTTGATTATATATAGCATTTATATCACACCCATGGTTTGTTATTGGGACACACAATGCAATGGGTGTGTGGGTGAAATCAATAGGAGCCACTGCTGCTGACCTCTAAAGCCAGAGGCTCTCACTGCAGTGTGTGAACACAGTGTCTTAATGAAATGCAAAAAGGGAGAAAAAACATTAAAAGATAATCATAATAAGTTTCTGAACCAGCAGCACAAACAGCACCTCAAATGTCTGATTTTATTTTTTATTAAAGGATTGGACTGTGAGCCTTTCCTTTCTCAATTTGGAGAAATGGGCTCACAGAGGATGTCACTGACTGGACCCATTATCTACTACATCCACATAATCATGTCCACAGTCAGAGCACCTTATATTGAGACACAGCTACAGTTGCAGCTCATTGACACAACACTATGTGAATACATAGAAACAGAGGGATTCAAACAAATGAAGGTCTGTGTGTTTAGTAAACACTGGTATAGAAGCTGTGACTCCAAACTCGACAGACGTGTAAAGACATTTACTGTAGTATTTCAGCTAACAATGAAGTTTATTTTGACAGCATACTGGATACTTGATTATGGTCTGCAACAGGACTTGTGTTTTTACTACATTAACATAAAAACTCTGCAACTGCTTTACAGCACCCCCTACAGGGAAGGGAAAAATATATTATCAACTAATCTAATCATTATATTGACAATAGCAGCACAAACAAACTAAATGGTGTCTAGTTTAGATTTAAAAAAAGTCAAATAATAATAAACTACACCAATGATTTATGAAGTCGCACTTCAAAGTTCACAGTTTTGATCTTTGTAAACGTGAGTCAAATAATAATAAATTACAGCAATGATTTATGAAGTCGCACTTCACAGTTTTGATCTTTGTAAACGTGATCCAACATTCTATTCTTAATCTTCAACGTGAAGTTGAAGAGTGCACTGAGCAAATTACAATCACATTTATCAGAAATTTAAAGGGAAAGCAAAGATAGAACAGTTAACATCTCACAGTTTGTTCATTCCAATGACAAACTCAAATCACAGAGGTGTTACAATTTGTTTACCGAAACACACACCGAACACTCATTTTCTGTGAAAGTTAGATCTTTTTTTTAAAATCATAATATACCACTAGGGCACTGTGTGCTGTTGTGGTGACAGTAGTTATTGAGTCTATAAAGTCAGAGAAACGTCATCATTCATCAATTCACCTATGTAATCAATAGAACTACTCTGATTTCTTAAATATTGTAAATAGTAAACATACGGTGATCCTGAGTCATTGTGTTAAATGTGCAACTCTGTGTAAAAAAGCCTCAAGCTGTGTGTGCTTTCGTTTCTGTTTTCAACATTCTATTAAAATACAGGACGAATAAATAAAGTCACGCTGATTTTAAGAGCCTGACATTTTGGTCTAAAGCTAGTCTCAGCAGCCGTCACTGCACAGTCTGGTGCCCAGGAGTTACAATACGAGGGTGCAGGAGGTGGAAGAGGAGGAGGAGGAGCCAGGAGGCTTGGGGACAGAGTTTGCTTCTGCATTTGCTGTTTGTTTTTAAGTCAGAGTAAATTGTTTACATCTTCTCAGGCGTTCTATCGCCACAAGAACCCACTACATATACTGTATGTGTATAAAGAGCAATTATAGCCACAGGGAAAAAAAACAGAAGAACTTCCATCACCTTCACCTGCAAGTCTGCTGCAACACCAGCTTTAATTGAGGACATCAGAATTTATTTGCTCAGAACAGTAGGGAACTTTAGGTGAGGAATCACTGCCTTGCCCCAGGGCAGAGATTCACAGATACGGATGGGGGGACGGAGAGAAGATTAATCTGTACAATCACACATCTAGGCTGTGATCCTTGTGTCTAAGACTATTTCACCACTTCTGTCTCTTGCCTTGTTGAAATAAATTAAAACGACCAGGTTTATAAATAGGACAGGGAAACTCAGCCTCTTCTCTTAGTTCTTATCTGGGACTACCTTGAAAATGAGAAGCTAATCTCAAGAGATTTACCCTAATAAAACTGCTCCTACTGCACCGTACAGTATATAGTCTATCACTGGATGTATGTATATATATATATATATGTATATATACATACATACACACATATCCTCGACTTACGTTGCAGTTACGTTCCAATGGTGCGCCGTAACTCGATTTCCGCCATAGGTCGGAAATCGTGCACTGCACATAAGTACCTGTCACTCACCTACGCCAAGACATTTATGTATTTGCACTTCATGACAACAGAGTTAAGAAAAAAAACATCAAGTTAGAACATCATATTACATTTTAACATAATAAAAATATTTTTTTTAAATATCAACAGACACACAACTCACTGAGGAGGGCATTGCTATATAGCAGCCTCTGCAGGTAATGGTAGAGATTAAATATCAATATCCCAATTATTGAGGAACCTAAAGTTAAATATAAATATCAATGATATACTGCAAATATTTTAGTAATCAATCGATCAATGACACGGAAGTAGAATATATATATATATATATATATATATATATATATGTATGTATGTATGTATGTCTTTTTAAGATAAAAAGCAGTAGAGTAAGAACAAGGACAAGTTCTAGCAAAGCTTTACTCACACTTCAAACTGAGGGTAAATTTTTGGTAATATTCGTACATGACATTTGAGTTTTGTCTGCAAGTTGTAATAGTATGGATGGTCTTAAACGGGGATATAATGTAGGGCACATCACATACAATAACGAGTGCATGGCTGCACAAGAACAGTCCTCCTGTCTGTATGTACGTGTGTGTGCGTGTGTGTGCGTGTTTGTGTGCTGCCCTACACTCAAACATTCGTCAAACGAGTTCAGCCAGTCGAGCTGCCTCCGAGTTAAGTGACAGAGTGAGAGATTCTTTATCAGGAAATACTCGCCCAACACATGGCAGGAACTGTGTAAATTGTCTTCATTGTCCTAAAACTTAAATAGGGTGTTCTACTTTGACAGAATATTTTGTCAAAAACAAGTACTCTTTCTCTGCAGCAGGTGCTTCATCAACAACAAACGTCAACTTCCTCACTAACAAGTCGCTTCAAACTTACCTTTCCCTTCAGGTCGAGGATAAATATCGCCGACGCCGACATCTTGGTGCAGAAAATTCTCGAGCAAATACAGAAGTCTGGGTAAAATTTAGGTCCAAAGTAAGTTAAAGGTCATGTGTGAGCAGAAATATTCAAGACTCCTGTTGCCATCCTTCTCCCTCTCCTCTCCTCCATCCACTCCCTTCGGCTGCCGCTGCTGCCGCGTCTCTACTCCTCAAACTGCAACTCCCCCGGAGACTCTTCGTCAAGCCGCTTTGCTCTACAAAAAACATTTCCGGTGGAAAAAATAAAACATTTGCTTGCTTGAAAGACCTTGGCGACGCCTAGTGGTTAGGTTACACGTTACAACGATGATGTAAATCATAACAGTGATTTATTTTGGGGCACTGGGAACAAAGACAATATAAATGTTCATTGAAAAAAAAAATCAATAAAAAATATATTAACAGCTTGTAAAACAATATTCAACATATACTTCTAAATGTGTAAGCATGACATTTCTCAACAATAAAGCAAGATAGTAAGGAGATCATAACCTGCCCTAATTATCTTTAAAAAGCCATACATATAAATAATTGCATGACTAGCGTCCATCTACTGAATATACTGTAATATATATGAATATTTAAAAGTAAAAATAATTGGAATAATAACATTTTATTATTTATTTATTCATTTAACAGCCGGAAGAAGTTTCTCGGGTTTTTTTTTTTTTAATTGTGTTGGAGTTTTACTTTGAAGCTAGAATAGTCTTAGTTCCGTTTTTGCTCACTTGAACTTGATCTACTGCGTTTCCTGGTGTGAGCTCTTCAGCTTCACACAGACCTGTCAGACTGCTCTCGTCAGCTGCGTGGCCTCTGAGACTTCAGGCGTCTCCTACAGGAGCAGTGTCATAGTTACTCACTTACTGTTGGCTATTATAGCAATAAACTTACATTTTAACGCACAGATTTTGATCCTGTGACCAGAAAAAACCCAAAGGACATCAATTTTACTTTTACTAACCTTGACGCTGACAGTGCAGGGGTGTGTAAAAATAATCAAACACCAATCAATTCTGTTTAGTTTCAGCAAATACTTGCCGTCAATCACATTGTGCCACCCTGCACAAACAGTCAAGACTGTTGGTCACAGGTCAATTACAATATGGCAAACAAAAAGTCCAATGATCTCTGTTCTCTGCAGTTGAGATTAGCTATAATTAATCTGTGTTAATCTGATCCCCCGTGACCTAAATGTGTGAAAGACAAACCATGAACATTTTCATTTGAAGTTTTAGATGACCCCAGTTTTATACTTTTTAGAGTTTATTCATTTAACCTGTCCCCAAAATTAATTAAAAAATAACTTAAGTGAGGTCATATTGGATTCACACAAAGTTCCGCTACTGAACCTGTGTCTCATCATAAATAATTAAATGAATTTAACAGAAATAATAATGATTACGATATACTAATATGAATGTATGTTGATGAAAATTGAATTTCATCGTCCTATTTTGAAACTTACTGCAGTCAGTATATGAACACATTAAGAATCTCCAGTCTAAACAGTCAGGTGGGAGTGTATCTGGTGATCAGGCTGAGATCTTCAGTTCAGGCGATGGAAAATTCAATCTCGTCCATTTCCTCCTCTGTGTCCTCCTCGGAGCTTTCTGCTACCCTTATTTTCTCCATGGTTGGGATGTAGTTGTCTTCGATGAAGCCGTCGTCGTCTTCTTCAATGACTGGAGTGATGGAGTGAGGGTTCCATCCGTGTGTGTCGGTTGAGGAAAACTCCACCTGGTGGTCTGAAAGTAATACAAAGGATTAATAAAATACACACATGACCATCAGGCAGCGACCGCACTGATCCAACAGACCTCACTGACTGTGCTCTATAGTCTAGATCAGGCATGGGTAAACTAAGGCCTGGGGGCCGGATGCGACCCGTTCAACTTTTTAATCCAGCCCGCCAAACTTTTCTAAATTATAACACAAGTTTATGTAGTGCAGTCATCTGACAAACAAAACCAAATAGGAACATGGTTGAAAGAACACACCTGATGGTCCACACTGGCTGACGTTGTCGGCTTCTCGCAGCCGTGTGTGGCTGTAGCTGGCCAGGTAATGTCGAACCACCTGACATTTAGCCAGGAGTGCTATGATGACTGAGATGGAGATGGCTGAGACCAGGACGGCCACCAAGAACTCCCACTTGTGGTTAGTAATGCTAGTCTTGATTGTGTCTGCAAAAGACAAAAGGATGAATTACTTCTAAGACTGTGAGAACTAAACAGTACCAACTGAAATAAAACCTCTAGAACTGAGACCAGAACTGGGCATTTGTATGGCTGGCAGGCAACTTTCCAGACCTCTGACTATCTGTGACCAGTCCGTATGAGTTAAAATAACGACCAACTACTACACCTATCAATCTGTGATAGGTGCAAAAATAGAGCTGCCATGCTTGGTTTTTGAAGCAACCAACTTTGGTTTTGTTTCTAAATTCAAGTCCGAGCAGTGCAACAATGCAACTTCACTTAAATGTGTCAGCAAATGTGTGAAGGACGACCTTAAAAAATGAAACAAATAAAATATCTGTATATATATATATACGGTATATATATAAATAGACCGATGAATATATATTTCTATCAAATACGTACCATTCTGTGCTGCGAGTGTTGTAAAGTCACTGAAGGAGACGTTTGTTGGCGCTGCCATCTGGCTTCAATTCTTCCAAAAACAATGGATTCACATCCCATAAACATTTTGCAGTCTTAACATCAAATCATCAAATATCTTCCTGCTTCCCTTTTCTTTCTTTTTTTTTGCAATATCTGTTAACTGTGTTTGAAACCATAAACAATGGATTCACATCCCATAAACATGCACGTCTGGGAAAGACCAGCTTTGTTAAGCGCTCCTCCTGCCCTTAGATCCAGCAGACTCTTGGAACTCCTGTTATTGTTATATTTTTTTCAGCAAATAAAACATGAAGTTCATCAGAGTGAAATGCTGCAAGGATGACATTTGCCCAGAGGAGGGAGGTGTAGGATATTTCTGTTGACCTGGTGTCAGGTTGGTGTTCACAGCTCCACCAGGGGGCGCGGTTGGATGATACTGTAGGTCTCCCGTCTTCGGAAACAAGTGGAATCTGGAGGCGTTACTCATGAAGACGCCTCTGAATCCAAGAAACGACGGCCTGGAGTCAGATAAACAAGTGAAACGTATTAAAACAACACTGGCTCACAGAGTCCTCTGACAGTCAAGAACACAGACACACACACACACATACAACCAAAAAAAAAAAAAAGTCTACCTACTATGTACTATATACCACAAACAGGAAGCAGCACATACAGCAGGACTTTCCTCTGTAGGTGTGACATTAACAGTGAGGAGTGTGAATGTCCTGGTTCTGGTTTCCAGGGAAGTGAAAGAAAGATGACAACGATTACAATTTTGATGTAATTAATCCCAGGTTAGCTGTGCAATCAATTACGGGATTTACGATTTGTTTTTGTAATTTATCATGATTAATCAAGATTTTTTCAACATTTCATTTTTCTTTAATGTTAGGTTTTAATTAATTCATTAAGGTCCAGGGGAAAAACAGATACATTTAGATTTTTTCCCCCCAGGTTTTTCAAAACCTGTAAATACAAACGAATTGATCATATTTTTTTAAAATCTCAAACTGTACGCTCGACGTCCACTCACATCTGACCAGACCCTGGATTTACTGTATATGCTGATGCAACATTTTCACAACGTCAATAGTTCATTGATTCACATAATGCAAATACAAAGACATCACTCGCGTTAATGTTTGAAAGACGGAGTGTATTATGGTCCAGGACAGGTTCCCACATATTAACCTGTACATGGTTGATTGACTGTCTGTGTTTTGATATAAACCTGGTCCATGTCATCTGGTACTGTATGTGTCTCGTTGACATGTCTTGCCTGGGCCTGAGCTGTTTGTTTTTTTCATTGTGAGATTCTGCAGGCCATGATATCAGAGAACATGAGTCACCCTTTCAAGAAACAAAAAAAAGCTGCAGTTGCTGCACTGCTGTTTTACCTGAGCTCTGAGCTCTGTTTGTGCAGCGCTACTTTGCATCTATTGGTGTTTTTACATGTCTGAAAGCATGCATAGGAGCAGCTATATTTGCATGTGTGTCTGCACAACACAATGCAGGGGTTGTGTTGAACATTAAATGTGAGTTTATGTCTTAACAGTTGAGGGTAAAACATCACGTGAATCCAGTTTTGCATCATATTTTGGTGAAAGTTAAAGCAACAATGTGCTGATAAAAGAAAAATGCATCTGAACTCTGCAATCCACAATGTGCATTTGGTTCCTATCAAAAATATACTTGACAAAACAAATATCTCGCTCTTTCATCGGCAGTCAAAACGATTGCAGATGAGGATTCTTCACAGAGACGTCCTTCACATGACCCTCACCCCAACCATCTACGGAGCAGCATGAAAACCTCCCT